CCCGACATGCCCACAACCTGGTCAGACACCAGCTTGACTCTTGACTTGTCCCAGGTTGACCCTCACAGATGGATAGATGTAGTACAGTATTCTGCAAACAGTACGTTAAGAAACATCAATAACAGGATGTTTCTGAAAGGCAAATTGCAGCACAAATATTGTGAAGGAAATGTAGCATTCCTCTGGCAAGTTGTGTGTGTAAATAAAATTTTGAAGGAGCAGCAATATGTTGTTGGTTTTGAAATACAAGGCAGCCCTGTGAATGGGTGCAAAGGTCCTATTAATTCGATACTTTGCCTTTTTTTTGACATTTGAAAGAAAAAATAGGTTCTCAAAGACACTTTTCTTCACAGATTGACTTTTAAAGCAACATTCTGAAGTTTGCCTAAGTGTGTTGGCAATGTATTTATACAAATGTAGCACTGAGGTAGTATTGATGATATTGGCAGAATTCACAATATTTGCTCAAATTATGGTACTTTATACTTTTATTGCTTGGATGAGATGATTAAAATATTAAGGAAATTATATGCTACAATGAAATCACTAAAACTTTAGTTAGTTGACTTCTAAATGTCAGTTTATTTCATAACTATCTAATACAATATAAAAAAGGCAGTCTTGGTACCTAAGTCTATTTCTGTTAGTACTGATGCTGGATCATGTTCCATCATAAGGTTAAAAATGACTAACAGTGGAGATAACATCATACAATCTACAAGTATTTAGATGCAGTTTCCGATAATTGTTGGAGCAAATTATTTAAAGGTGGATCCAAATAACTGTAGAAGTACTGCACATTAAGAATTCTAAAATACCACCAGCATTTTAAGTTATGTGTAGTCAGTCCTTGGATTGAAGTTAATACAAGCACAATTCTGGACATTACTGTAATAGTTTCACTCAAAAAGGTGAGTATGCTACATACATATCTAAAGACAGTAGGTACCTTTTTTCCTCAAGGTCAAGGTAAATATTTTAGGTGAATTATAGTTTTATTTGTACTTTTATATCTTCACATAAATATATTTATCACACATGTAACTTTAGAGTAGTTGTACAGAAAGCAGAAAACATGATTTTTAGTTTTTGTGTGCAGTATACTTTTTGCAGTGTTACAGTAGTCCTGTGTGTTATTGGAACAGTTGAGTGTTTGCCCTCAGAAAGTTGCTGCACTCATGGTGAAAATATTGTAATGTGCCCTCACCTTGCAAGCAAGAGAACTGGGTCTAATTCATCGCAGGGCGAAATCTTGGGCAAGTTTCTTTACTCCACACGCCTCTGTTCTGTTTACCTAGCAGTTAGATGGAACCCGGTTGTTGGGCGATTGGCGGATCGCTTTTCTGGGGGTAACAATCCCTTAAAAAAAATTATAAGTTGTTCATTCAATCCACGACTGTTTGTGGTACACTGCTGTGCACAATTGGCTGCCACATTTCACCCACAAGATATACAGTCAATTCATTTTACAGTATATTCTGTGAAGCGCTTTGAGATGTCTCAAGGATGTGATAAGATGCTATATCAAATGCAAGAATTATTATTATTAATTTCAAAGGTCATTATATTACCATAGTTTTGCCTACCAACTGTTTGTTGGATTTTTGGCCCTTTTGTTGTACTGATAAATGGCTCAAAAGCAAAATCTTGGCCATATTGAAAAAGCAGATATCTCTATTTATACCCCTAACTATTGGAAACAGTAAACCTGCTGAGGCTAAAGACACATGTTGTTAAAGATCCCATGGCACTATTTGAAAAGAGAAGGGAGCTTTTTCCAGTGTCTGGGAGAAACTGGTCATTTATTTTAAAGCTGCTTGTGGGGACATTGCTCTGTTCAAACTGGCAGTTGCATTCATCTGCACTAAGCATAAGCACTACACTTTACATCACTTTACTTCCTATTTTGACAAAATGATAAGGCACTATATAAAATACACAGATTATAATAATATTATTATTAATCTTATCCATGATAATTCAATCAAAACATGGAGCTCATTACATGAAAAATAAAAGGCCTGTTAAATAAATCACTGTAAAATCGAAACCACTCTCTTCAGTCTTAGATCAAATATGGAAGATTAAATAGAATGAATGCGTGATTTGCTCACTTGCTGTACAGAGATGGAGACATTCTGGACTCTTAGTGTAAAGCTGTTTAGTGAATTGACAAGTTTTTGAGCTTGTATTCGAGTAAGTCTAAAGTGAAGATTGTGCGACAGATTTTCTTTCAACCATTGGATGTTTGTACTCCTGTGTTCACACTAAATGCATATTATCAGGTTAAACAACTGATGTGAGTCCTGACTCCTATATCCCTCTCCCCACTGCCTCCAAACCTATTACCATCTCCTACCGCCCGTGGAAGAAGATCTCCCCGCAATCCCTCTCCGCTGCCCTGGAGTCCTCTGAACTCCTCCGCCTCTGGCCCACCTCTTGCACCAACCCATCCTCTGTGTTTACTCTTCTCCACAGCACCCTCTCCACCACACTCGACGCCCTTGCCCCCCTCACCTCACGAACTGCCTCCTTATCCTGATCCTCACCTGAGTTCACCAGCCACCTCCGCTCGCTCAAGGGCCAGGTGTGGGCTGCCGAACGCACTTGGCTCAAATCCGGCCTAACGATCCACTGCCACATCTGGCTGGACTTTATCAAGACCTACCGCTCTGCTCTCGCCTCGGCCAAATCATCCTTCTACTCCAGGTTAATCCTGGAGGTGAAGGGCAACCCCAGGCTCCTGTTCTCCACCACCAACCGGCTCCTCCACCCTCACTGCCGCACCACCCAGATTCTTTCCTCTGACTCTCACTGCAAGAAAATGCTGGACTTCCTCGAGTACAAAATTGAGGGAATCCGCTCAGCTGCCACTGCTCTCTCAACGTCCACCCCCTCCCTACCCCTCCCTACATCCAGACCACTACCTATCCCTCCTTCCACATCTTTGAACCTGTCACCGCCTCCTCTATCATCACTACCATATCCTTCATGAAGCTCACCACCTGCTCCCTGGACCCCATCCCCACCCCTCTCCTTAAATCCCAGCTCCACCTCCTTGCCCCACTACTCGCCGACATCATCAACCTCTCCCTGTCATCTGGCACTGTTTCTACGCCCCTCAAAACAGCCACTATCACCCCCACCTTGAAGAATCCTTCCCTTGACCCATCACAGCTGTCCAGCTACCGGCCCATCTCCAACCTCCCTTTTCTGTCCAAGGTACTTGAGCGAGCCGTCATCTCCCAGCTTCGTTCTTTCCTCTCCTCCCATTCCCTCCATGAGCCCCTCCAATTGGGTTTCTGTGCTGCCCACAGCACGGAAACTGCTCTGGTCAAGGTCATAAATGACATCCTGACCATGTGTGACCAGGGCTCCCTCTGCCTCCTCGTCCTCCTCGACCTCTCTGCTGCTTTTGACACTGTGGACCATTCAATCCTCCTCCACCTCCTCTCCTCCCACCTCAACCTCCTGGTTCAGGTCCTACCTCTCACATCGCCTCCAACAACAACAACAAGATTACATTTGTATAGCGCCTTTCACATCAGGAGCCTCCACTTTGTCTCAGCAAACGGCTTCTCCTCCAGCTCCCACACCGTTTCTTGCAGCGTTCCTCAGGGCTCTGTCCTCAGTCCCCTCCTTTTCACCCTCTACATGCTTCCCCTTGGTGACATCACCCGCAGACATGGGATAAATTTCCACATGTATGCGGATGATACCCAACTCTATCTCTCTGCCTCTACTCTCAACTACAGGACTACTGGCGTCCTGACCGACTGCCTGTCCAACATCAAGTCCTGGACAATGAACAACTTTCTCCAGCTGAACGTCAGCAAGACCGAGGCCCTCCTGATTGGCTCGCGCCAGCGCCTCCGCACCTCAGATGTTGGCAGCATCAGCCTCTATGGCTGCACACTCAACCGCACTAAGCCAGTCTGGAACCTGAGTGTCCTGTTTGACCCTGAACTGTCCTTTCCCACTACATCAACGCCATGACTGGCACTGCCTACCACCCCCGCAACATTGCCAGACTCCTCCACTGCCTCACCCCTCAGGCTGCCGAAACCCTTACCCACGCATTTGTCACATCAAGGCTCGATTATGGAAATTCCCTCCTCATCGGCCTTCAGAACTCTTCCCTTCACAATCTGCAGATCATCCAAAAATCTGCAGCTCATGTAATAATAATAATAATAATCCTTGCATTTCATATAGCGCTTTTCACGTCTGGAGGACGTCCCAAAGCGCTTCAACAAAACACACTGTAAAGTGAATAGACTGTACATTTGTGGGTGAACGCGGCAGCCAATTGCGCACAGCAATGTCCCACAAACAGTCGTAGATTGAAAATGACCAATTTATTATTGTTTTTGGTTTTGGAGGGATTATTATTAGGCGTGTGGAGTAAGGAAACTTGCCCAAGGTTTCGCCCTCTGCCTGGAATTGAACTCAGGTCTCTCGCTTGCAAAGCGAGTGCTCTAACCACTGAGCTACAGGACTCTCGCGGACCAGGCTCCGTGACCCTATCATTCCCACCTTCACTCGACTCCACTGGCTCCCCATCCCCCAGAGGATAGAATTCAAGATCCTTGTCCTCACTTTCAAGGCCATCCATGGCCTTGCCCCCTCCTACCTCTCTGACCTGCTGACTCCCTACTAACCTGCCCGCTCCCTCTGTTCAGCGGGCTCCAGCCTGCTCCATGTCTCCCGCCCGACCCATCCTACCATCAGTGGCTGGGCTTTCAACCTCTCTGCCCCCATACTCTGGAACTCCATCCCTCAGTCCCTTTGCCTCGCTTCCTCCCTTGCCTCCTTCAAGGCCGGTCTCAAGACCCTCCTCTTCGATTGTGCCTTCGGTCACCCTCCCACCTCTCTGCCTTCCCTCACCCCTACACCACCCCTCCCCCATGCTCGGGTCCTGACCCCTGACTGTCCAGCGCTTTAGGACATCCTCCCAACGTGAAAGGCGCTCTATAAATGTAATTTTGTTGTTTTTGTAGGGGTGGCAGCTGCACCATTTTTGGCTGAAGAAGAAGCACATAATTTCATCCGAAACAAACGACAGGCTGGGTACTGGGACCCAAACCATCCCAATAATGTATGGGGCATTACTGCTGCTGAGCAAGTAAGAAACCTCTATCTAAATGGATGATCTAAATATTCGCAGGTGCTCAGCACCATCTCTGAAAAGTGCTTCAAGACGTTACTCTACATGAAGGGAGCTATATAAGTGCAAGTTGTTGCTGTTATTCCATTTCCTAGTCTCATACCCAGTCTTATCTCCAGCGTCTAAAATTTTGCCAAAATGAGCTATGCACATTGAGTAATAATAGTCATGGAACTGTCAGTCATGTTGGATTAACAATTTTAATCTTTTAATTTTAAATCTCAAATATAACATTTCCCCAAAGCTGGCAGCTCTAGGTAATAGAAGATTCAGAATCATTTTCTCACATTTGCAGTGCTATTTGTTTGATATTACGTTCAATAACAAAGAAAAAGTATTTTGAATTATTTTGGCAATGCTTCAGATGTTTAAAAAAATGTCCGAAATATAAAATCAAACCATTGATGATGATTTTAGCCTGAATTGACTCAATCATCATAAGAGACAAAGAGAGGTGAGTTTTGGTTTCTTTGGAAATGTATCAATCGTTGGTAGCGTGGGAGTAATTTAGTGTGCAATTACCAAAGGCCAGTAAATGTACGGGCAAGTGGAAAACAAACTCCCACAAGGTAAAGCAATATCAGAAGCATTTTTCTCTAGGCACTAGAAATACAAATAATTCTTATTTAAGTACCTATGCCCGTATCAACCATATGTATCTCGCAATACAATGTTAGAAATTAGCAATGTAATCTCATTTAGAGATTACATTGCTAATGTAATCTCACTTAGAGATTATTAGGACAAGCTCTTTGGCTGAATTAAAAACAATGTCATTTTGACCTTGAACGATGGCCATAAATGTGTCCAATGCCATCTTTTGTATAATGACTTTCTTGATTCATATTTTCATTTGGAAGCTGACTTTCCATAAAATAGCCTCAAAATTAAGATTAAGAAATTTCCACAATTCAGCACAATCGAAACAAAATGGTTTTAGAGAGTAAGACTTCATGGAATTTGGGTTTTCTGCTGCATTTTTGCTTTGAGAAATAGATGAATCTGGAAGCTTGCAATATGTTTTCTGGTTTATTTAGAAACATATAAATCCATTGAATTATATAAATGCATCACTTGCATGTGACATTATTGTGAGAAAAAATGTACTCGCTTGGCTCTATTCAATACGGATTGGCAAACATGTTTTCATAAATGTAGCAGTGAATCTAGTGGTGAATGCCTGAGTATAGTTAAATAGAGTAGATAACAACATGCCTGAATAATAACTCCTGGTGGCATGAGATAGACGTTTGGGCTTGCAGTTGGCTGCAGTGACCTGTAAGGATTGTATGTGATATCAAAAATGGTGATCCGCTCTGCAACTGATGTACAGATATCATTGGTAAGATTAAAATGACCAAGAAATGTCTGTTCTATCAATGTCAAACCGTTGATTTTTTATCTCTAGGATAAGCCCTTATCTCATGTATTTTTCTTCCTCCATTTCCCTTGCTATAAAGACTACTTTATCAAATAAATCATTGTGTTAATATGATACACTGCTGCTTTTCAATAATATGGTTAAAGGAGTTTATGCATGTAAGCACATACTCTTTTAAACCTATCGTAGAGACTCATAACATTGAGGCTTGGCTATGCAAACACCTTGCTTGTCTGCCTCCCCAACTCCTCCTTCCATAGCCTGCAGATCATCCAGAACTCCGCAGTCCGTGTCCTCTCCTGTATCAGGCTCCGTAACCCTATCACCCCCAACCTCGCCCAACTCCACTGGCTTCCCATCACACAGAGGATACAGTTCAAGATCCTGGTTCTCACCTTCAAAGCTCTCTATGGCCTTACTCCCCCCTACCCCTGCGACCTCCTAACCCCCTACCATCCTGCTCGCTTCCTCTGCTCAGAGGACTCTGGCCTGCCTCACATTCCCCACCTTGCCCATCCACCATTGGCAGGCAGGCCTTCTACCACTTTGTCCCCGCGCTCTGGAACTGCATCCCGCAGCCCCACCATGTCGTCCCCTCCCTTGTCTCCTTCAAGACCCATCTCAAGACCCTCCTCTTCAACCGTGCTGCTCGGATCCGAAACACTGACTGTCCAGCACCTTGGAACGTCTTCTCGAGGTGAAAGGCACTTTACAAATGTAGTTTTGTTATTGTTGTTGTTAGTCTCCTTATGGATTATATTGGTGTTCACAGGTGTTAGTTTAGTCAGATCCATCCTTCAATAATTGGTTAAAATGATGTTTTAGAATTTAGATCTAACATGTGGAAACTTTTAACAAGATTCCTTAATAAGAACCTGGAAATATAATGCAACGTGATCCACTTTTTGAACAGAGTTAATGTGATTTGGTGTGCATTTTTAATAATAAGAATATTAAGAATACTTGCATTTGATATAGTGTCTGGTTACTGTTTGATTGACTGATTAAGGAATCCCATTAGAAATCATTGTTATGAGCTAATTTACTCAATGTAAATAAATCTAATCCTGCTCAGATTGTGCAGTATACCAGAAAAAAACTGAAAAACAGCAGTGGCTGGAAATCTGAAATAGAAACAACAAACAACAATGACAATAAATTGCATTTATATCGCCCCTTTCACGTTCGGAGGATGTCCCAAGGTGCCAAACAGAAATAACGGTGGTGGAAATCAACAGCAGATCTAAGTACATCCAAAAGTGAAAAACAAATCTACATTTTGAGCACGACTCTTGATTTGAACATTCCAACAGAGGGTCATGTTAACTTAATTAACATGAATCCATTAACCTAATAATGTTATGCCCCATAGAAAGGAAAAAGGATCCAAAAGAAAGTATTCACCAGGGAAATAATCTTCTGACCTACACTGATTTAATATCATTTATGCACAATCAGTCCAATAATAATAATAATCCTTGGATTTGATGTAGCACCGAATCATGTCTTCTCGATGCCTCAAAGCACTTCATAGAATTTTGCTATGAAGTGCAGTGACTATTTACTTGTAGGAAAATGTAGCAATCAATTTGCACACGGTGCCTGTGATGGCTAAAGAAGTAACCTGCTCAGCCCAAAATGTGGATAAAATTAGTAGGATGGCCACTCGAACATTTTATAAACTCGTTCTGAGTTGGATGAATATGTGGTTTAGGAATAGGTTGAAGGTTATACGAACAGATGTAAAAGGTGATATTGAATGCTATATAGGGCAGATGCGACCTTGAAGGAGCCATAGTGGAGGCGTTAGAGGTGAATTGTAGTCCTGGAGTCCACTGAGCTACAGTCCGTGGAGTCCTGTAGCTCAGTGGTTAGAGCACTCGCTTTGCAAGTGAGAGACCTGAGTTCAATTCCAGGCAGGTCAGGGCGAAACCTTGGGCAAGTTTCCTTACTCCACACGCCTAATAATAATCCCTCCAAAAAAAAATAACAATAATTAAATTGGTCATTTTCAATCTACGACTGTTTGTTGGACATTGCTGTGCGCAATTGGCTGCCGCGTTCGCCCACAAATATACAGTCAATTTACTTTACAGTGTGTTCTGTGAAGCGCTTTGGGACGTCCTCCCGACGTGAAAAGCGCTATATCAAATGCAAGGATTATTATTATTATTATTATTATTATAATTGTGTCCAGTGTGGGTTAATATAGATATTCTGAAGTTTTATCACATTGACTTGGGGCAGGGTGAAGAATAGAGTTAAACATCAGAACTTTTCTCCTAGGGATTAAATAGTTTAGTTGGGAGACAAAGGACAACAGATTGAACAATCTCTGTGAAGAAAATGAGCAGATGGAATAAATTAACTTATCTCGCTTGCCTTTCTACTATTCTTAGCTGCCACCTTTTATAGATGGATTATTCTTAAGACCATCAGTGGTTCCCAATATAAATGCAAGCAAACGACTTGATGTGTTGCTCATTATTAAATAAGGTATTCCAACACCAGACAAACAGAAATTAAATGCAGTTTGTCTGAAGCAATGGCATCTTCATAACTCTATAGGCCGAATTATCTTTAAAATCAGATTCATAATGTACATTTTGGAAAAAATAGAAAGTTCTCTTAAAATCCAACTTTATTGCTGTTTAAGTACACATTTTAGTAGTTTTGCACAAAATACTACAAACCATGGATTATTATATTAAAGGGAAAAACTGCTGCCTCCAGACTACACATAATATATTTCCGACTTAGTAATAAACAAACTGATGTTGTTCCACGTTTATTGTTCTCTTTATACTGCTGCAATTGTTGTAACTTTGCTTCCAGCAATGGATTGATTAAGAGTGGGAAGCCTGATTTATACTTACCACTTCCCAATTGCTCTTGCTGGGAGCTAACTGGCACTGAACACTGGTCAGTTTTTAGTTTTATTAGAGAGTTGGGCACTGTAATAACATTAATAGTGGTTCCTTTAAAATTCTTAGGCAGTCAATAATTTAAGGGGCCAGACTTTAACAGATTGCGCTGCCTATTTTTCTGCTGCAGTAGTGCAAATCAATTTGCTGGCAAAATCTCCTACTCCAGGTGGTTTCAACAGTAGAATCCTAGCTTGAATCACTTTACAATTGTGTTCTCCAAACAAAGTTTATACCTCACCCCAGTACAACCATGAGTGGCCATCTTGGCTGGAGAGGACTGTGTGGTGAGCAGTAAAACTCCAACTGATTTATCACAAACATCCTGAAGCTACACATGATAATAGACTGAGAGAATTCTTACGGTACAAATATTGCAAACTTGCATCGAACGACAATGGAATGATTAGTGTTGTTGTCTCTCACTGTACTGGGAACAAAACACAAACAAGTGTTATTCACAATTAATCCTGATTGAATCTATATTTTCTTTGTTTAGTCAATTTGGCGACTTTAATTTTTAATGCATGGCAATATAAAACAGAGTCCATTTTGAAGATGCACAGGGTGCAATTTATATCTCACTCAAAGCAGTCACCTAAAGTACAATTGATTTGTAGCTTATTAGTCAATTAAGCACGTTCAGAAATGAAGACGATGCATAATGTATCTTCAGTTTACAGACACTAGGCATGATATGCAAGATAGTATTAGTTTTTAAGATTATCTTATTATAAAATTTAAGGTATCATAGAATTCCAAATTTAAGTTCAGTCTTAAATTTGGAAGCCAGTTCTTTTTCAGAACTATGAAAAATCTAATTCCAATTGAAGAGTGAATTTATTTAAGGGTTTTCTGCAATTCTGTGTGCTCCTGGTTTTAAGCTGAAATGGTCTTTCAGGCTGCCTAAATGACATTTCAGTATCTGATAACACTGGGCACATTTGTTAACTTGTTTAATCTGTAACAATCTAGAACCCCTCTCCATCTAGTTGCTGACTATCCAACCTGTCCCTGCTTATCTCTATCCAGTTAACCTGTCCCTCTCTTCCTGTATTATCCTCTCCCCTTCAAAACCACTCAAAACCAGGTCAGAAGATTTTCCCACCTTTGCAAAAAAAACTATCCTCAATCCCTCCAAACTCTTCCTTTCCAAACTGATTGTTGCCATTCAACTTCGCTACTTCACTTCTTGCTTGAACCTCTCTAATCTGGTTTCCACCCTGCCCATAATACCAGAACAGCCTTCATCAATAGTGCCATTGATCGTATTCTCTCTGCGATCAGAGTTTCTTCTGCTTTCTTGTCCTCAGCCGCTCTGCTGCTTTTGATATTGCTAACCCACTCCATCCTCCTCGATCCCCTTTCCTTCCTCATCTGCCTCCATTGATCTGCACTCTCCTGGTTCCAAACCTACTTCACCCACTGCTTCCATTTTGTGTTCTCTAACTATATCTCCTCCCACTCTTGGATGGTCAACTTCTTCCTCCTCTTTTGCTTGGAATCCGACCCAGTCTGTCAAGTGCTCCGGGATATTATCCTGCAGGAAGGATGCTATATAAACTTGTGTTGTTGTTGTAGGCAAGTGAATACTGGACATCCCTGAGAAATACAGCACAGTACAATATAGATTTGGGTTCTTTTGCTTTCGCTGGTGATCCATCTGCTGCAGAGTGAGTACCCAAACAGTAATAATTCATGTTTTTAAATATATAAAATTGATAACAATAATGAAATAATAATCTTTGCATTTTATATGAAGCCTTATCTTGTTGTTGAAAAATCTTAAAGCACTCCATGAGGTTGTACTATAAGGTGTAGTGATTGTGTATTTTGTAAGTAAACATGGCAGCCAATTTGCACACAGCTATGAAGTCAATGATCATTTTTATATGGAAGATTATTGGCCAAGACTCCAATCGAAACTCCCTTCACGTTTCAAATATTGCCAGAGGATTTTTAACTTTCACTTGAACAGGCAGATGATACATTGGTTTAACATCTCATCCTACAAATAGCATCTCAAACAATGCAGCTGCCCCAACGATGCACTGGAGTAGCAGCCTCGACTATTAACCTTTGAAAAGATATGGGTGAAAATAAAATGCTGGTTAATAAGGCAAACTGCAATGTGCAATTAAGGAATTGTTCAACAAATTTCTATTTAGTTAGGCTTTTCTATTTGACCATTTGCCAACACTGCCATGTGTTATCTTTCAGAATTTGGGGCTAGATTCACACAAATGACATTTATGATGGAATTTTTTTTCAAAATTTCAAAAGTATATTATTTACAGCATTTATTTACAACATTTCTGTCTGTGAAATGTATTTCACAGGGTGAGTATTCAGTCCCTTTGAAATTATCCAGTGATGCTATGATTGTCTTCAGAGGTCAGAGGTTGCAGACTTATCATTGTATCCTGAGGAGAACTGCTTAAGAAGTTATGTTAAGAAGTTATATGAGAGAATTTTAAGTTCGAAAAGTAACATCTTGCTGACCCTAGTTTTTAAATTAAAAATAAATCCCTCTATTCTTCCAGTCCTTTACTGGTAACACCAGGGGAAGCTAGAAATGGCATTTTTCCAAAGATGCAGAATTTGGCTTGGAACAGGTCCATTTTCTGAGACGTTAAATCACTTCATAACAACCCTTAACATTTAGAACCTGCTCTAAAGAATTTGTTGCACTGTGATTTATTTCAGACTGGTTGGGAGATGAGGTTAGTTGCTGTCCCCATTGACTTGAAATCTATAGCATTTTTGGCCCCTTACAACCCCCACATATGTACACTCTAAGAACAGGATGGAGGCCCAAAAAAAGGTCAATTAGTGACAGACTTAAAGGTCAAAATAATTTGATACAAAAGTTGTGCATTCCTACAATTTTCATGTATTTTGTTACAATTCTAAAATAAATCTATTTGAATTTTTTTTATATAGGGATCACATCAGGGCCTACATGGATTACCTGAGACAGATGAGCACTTACCTTCAGCCTCATCACCCACGCAAGTGAAGGAAAACAAAGAGAACAGAAAGACATTATTTTGAAATGAATTTAAAAAGGACAATGATGTCTCATACTAATCAATTGTTGTACTGTAATCTGCAGCAACAAAAGTTGTAATGATAGCTCACTGAATTCCAACTGTACCAAAATCTATCCTGAGAAAGGGCCAGGTTTCAAATAGTCTTGGAGAAAGTTGAGCAATAAAATATTAAACATTTCATTTGTATGTTGTTACAATTTCCTTCCCCCCAAAAAAAACATACACTTGTTTGTACATAAAACAGAAAACACTGCAAATCCAAAATGTAAATGGATTGTTCTTTCAGATTTGACTGACTGATTGGCCTGCTGTGAATTTGAAATATTTTCATTTTTTATTTCAGGTTTCCAACATTCAGTTTTCTTTGAACCTTTCTGTTTTGGTGTCATGACAATATGTTGAAAGACATTACTGCATAAATTAAAATATCCAGCACTTTGGGACGTGCTCCTGACATGAAAGACATTATATAAATGCAAAAGTTTATTGTTGTTGTTCTTATTGGGCTAAACTTCAAAAGGACATTGGAAAGAATTTGAGAGTTGCAGTGAGAAACAGCCAGGATGATTCTGGGACTTGGAGCTGTAAGTTTGAGAAGCGACTCACAGTGGATCTTAATAATAATAATCCTTACATTTGGTATAGGGATTTTCACATCTTAAAGCACTTCACAGGATATACTGTGGTGACTATATGTTTGTAGATGAATGTGGCAACCAACTGGCACACAGAATGGCCCATAAACAGCCCACAAAGTGAATGACCAATTTTAGTTGGGCGGTTGTTGACCAGGACACAGGGTGAATATGGGATCTTTAACATCCATCTCAGCAGGCAGACAGGGCCTCAGTTAAATGTCTCATCCAAAGGATGGCACCCACAACAATGCAGCTTATGCCCAGCGCTGCATTGAAGTGTCAGCTTAGACAGACTATATTAGTTCCAAGTTCTGATGTGGGGCTTGAACTCACAACTTCCTTCTGACTCAGAGGCGAGAGTGCTACCAACTGAGCCAAGCTGACACACTTGTTCTCATTAGAAAAATACTGAAGGAGGAGCGTTATCATCCAGATCTGTAAAATGATGAGGCACATAGATGATATTGATTCAGACTTTGGCATAAAAGCAAAAATCCAGAAATAGATTTAATGTTGTAAAAAAAACACTCAAGTGGGACAAGATATTGAAGGCATTTTTTATTACAAAAGTGAGGTGTGGAACAGGCTTGCAGCAGGAAAAAATGATGTTTCATTGGTTATTTTTTTCAAAAGAAATCTAGATAAGCATCTGCTTCAGTACACAGGAATAGATACAACCTGAAACTAACTGCTGTCCTGCACTGAATAATTTCTGTCCTGCTTGATGGTGGAAGGGTCTTCTCTTTAGAGGGGCGATGCCGGGGTTGAATATCAGATATTCTGCATGGATGATGTTATTTTACTTGATTAGCTTTGTTTCAGAGAATATCTGTCCAATATGTTGCTCCAAGATATATGGGAAGGGGTGAGAGTGAGATGGGGTGAAATTCATGATAAGGGACATTGTACGAGGATGTGAAGTAGTGGGTTTGATGGACTGAATGACTTTAAAATATTCGCTTTTATATTGACTTGTTTTTGAAAAATAAACAGCTGCATAAACCTAGGATCATAGAAATTTACAGCACCGAAGGAGGCCATTGAGCCCAAGTCTGTATCATCTCTCAGACCAAACTGTCCATTCTATCCCACAACTCTGCCCTATCTCACATACCACATTCAAGCCATTTTGTTTCATGTACCTATCTACTCTCTTGAAATCAACTCAACATTCTTAGCAGATACGAGCGATGCCATTTTCTTAATGTATCCATAAATCATTTTCAAAATGTACCTAAAAACAGAGTCAGTGTTCAACCACTCAGGAGAGTAGAGTTTAAATGCTCATCATGGTAAGAAGTGTTAGTGTTGGAGAATGGAGTACCCATGGAGTTCACATGTTTTTAAGACTCTGTGGGGTCGAGCATGTGGTTTACATTTAGAAATTCTGAAAGTGTCAATTAGAGATTATCCAGATGTGCTGGAGGAAGAACGCCTCCCCTTGGAACATGGTCTCAACCATTATGCCTAAACTGATAGTTTCTGATTTCCACTCTCCCCCACACGCTTGCGATAGTGGATAGTCCCCAAAAAATCTCCATTCCATTACTGCTTCCAATCGCTGAGCTCACCATTGAGCAGCTAAAAATAGGATACTGACTTAACCCCATTCAGTCTCTTGTTGCCTTCAGGATCAAAAAGACACTTGGGTTTTCTAAACAGTAAATAACATGGCAGCTATTTATTTAAATTAAGTATTGTACAGAAGTTCAGCGAGGAAGGAGGTATTGTCACAGTTTTTACCTCCTAATGTCAGTGGATAATTTCAAATGGTATAAGATTATTGCCAATTTCAGTGACTTTGCATTAAGTTCCCTCTGAACCATTTACTGTTCAGTTCACCAGCAGATGTCACTGTTAGCTTCTGTGAACAGGATTTGCAGTTACTCTCATAGGAGTTGTTCGGCTTTGTGTTTTTCACCTTACCATGAGCAGAACACTATTCTGCTGCATTCACTAAGTATTCCATCGCACTATTAATAACACTCCAGTCAGCCTGGCTCATCAGCAGGACTCGGAGAGGCAGAGCAGCCACAGGGAGCAGAAATCAATCCCACTCAGCTCTTGTTGAAGCCCTAACAGCTGGAGCGGTCCTAGCAGGACAAAGCAGCAGGAAACTTACCAGACAATGCTCTCAATGGCAAGCCATTTTTAGCTGGTTACATTGTAGCACACTCTTAACACACATTATGGAGATCCCAAGCCTTGACTCTTGCCAAACTGCGACTCTACTAATACAATTCCAAAATCAGGTAACTAAATGTGTCCCTCCAAAGAGAGAGTGAAATTTCCATGTGTAGGTTGCATATATATGGAGAAATCAGTCTGGTTTGGATACTCTTAAGCACGATGAAGGGTTTTTGCACATATCAGACACCTGGCTGACCAAAACAAAATTTGTAATTAATTATTTGACGAAAAGTAATTTTGTTCTAATTTTGGACATGCAATCATGCTACTCTAAATGAGTGTCATCGACAACAGGAGTGGGGTACCAGCCTTCCCAGTGGAGGATATGGCACTTGATTCATTTAAGAAACAACCTGTGAAAAATTTGGGTGAGTATTCATATGAGGTGCCCTTGACAATGCATGATTGTAATGGGAAATCCCAATTCGGGGGGCGCAAGTAACGCTCACTAATTTTTCACTAAGCGCTCTGGGAATCTGCCTGGCCTGGAGGACGCTGTTGTTGTTGTTTTCTCCATTAATGTGTTTTATGAAAAAATTTGGTATTCCAGAAGCATCAGATCAAATGCGCCTTCTTTATCTGAGCCTGTCTTGTGATCTTTCTTCTATCTTGTGAAAACTTAAGAAAGCTCTGTGGGGTATTTCTGCTACTCCCACTATGTGGCATTTTTTCACCTGCTCCATCTGCTACATTAATTGTAAGCACAAGACAAAATATTCACAAAACATATTGAATGAAATAGAATTGATATCTAAAAATAAGTAATTTGCAGTGTTACAAATTTATATGGTTCTCTGCCCTGCACAGATCAACAATTCATTAGATTTCGTTAATAAAACAGAATTACCTCCCCTTTCCTTAATGTTTTACTTGGTAAAATTTTAGTAGCTTAATGTTTATTACAGTATACTATTATGTATGGTCTAATGTTAGATAATTCCACCTCATTACCATTCATAATGTCTCTACCTTTATTATTTGATTGTGGATTATGTTTTTTTTTCAATTTGTTGTCCTATTGATAAAAATGAAATTTTAAAACAGAACCATTAATATTTTATTAATGATCCAGGTTGTGTAGCATTTGAAAACAATTCTCATGTGATGAGGATTGCTGCTGTTTTTACCCGCTGTATCAAGTGCAAGGATTATTATTATTATTATTAAGGTGGGGATGATTAGAAAAACCTCCTGTGTTCCAAATATTTTAGATTGAAAGCACCTGAGAACATATTCACACCATTCCACACAATACACAGGTTTTAAAGTGGCATCACTATCTCCAAAGTATTTATTTTCCATAATGGGATGTAATATATCAGCATTTTTTCTTAAGGTCAAAAGTGTGTAGATGTTTTTATTTCAATAACTAGAAGTATTTTTACTGGTATGTCAAAGCATCAGTTTCTGTTGAATTATATTTTCTCAATTTATTCTAATATTGACACAAACAAAACAGGCTAAAAGGCAAGGAAGCTAAGTGTATATTTTATTGATGATTTAGGTGGTTTGGCATTTGAAAATAATGCTTATGTCATTATTGTTCTCCATTCTTCTTAAAATATTTTTCATTTTGTATGCAAGGTCCCATGTAACAGACCTCACTTCTCAGCCATAAAGGTTGGCAGGTGGATTATTTACCATTAAGCTTTCTTAAAATTTTGCTCATTAACCAGATGCTGGGAGGCTGGTAAGAGATGTTCTGGTCAACTCATCATCTCGAATCATTATCAAGATTTTTGCCACCTTCCCTCCTACCTCCCATTGATTTAAAATGGGGAGTGAACTCCACCCTATGCCTTTTTTTTAAACAAAAAATCTGATCTTGCTACATTTGGTTATTTGAAGGCTGGTAAGTTGTAAATCTAAAAGTAACCTTGCTGTGATCCATTTATCAGAGGCAAACCTCTGACACATGCATTTACTATTAAGCAAGTCAATTTATATTAATCTAAGGCAGCAGAGAGCAGACATTAATGCAAATTGAATCCAGAAATGTTAACTTAAAGTGGACTGCCCTTTTAAGCACCACGGGAGTCCATCTGGAACAGTATCCATTTTTTCCCGTTTGATATTCAGAGACACAAATTTTATAGTCATTTGTTCAGTCCAAATTTCTTCTTTGAAAGTTTGTGGTGGTGGAAACTGCATAAAGGTTCTGACTCATAATGGACCACAACAACCAACATCTGACTTAATTCTTATGATAAATATTTTCCCCTGCGGTCAGAAAGTCACCTCGTAATCAGGTGGATAGGTGTAAAGCATATGTTCTGCACATGAGTCAAAAAGGGACATGAATAATAATAATAATAGTAATAATAATAATAATCCTTGCATTTGATATAGC